CATAGTGATAAAAATTTTTTTTACTATAAATATAGCGCCACACTTTCAGCAAATAATGACATTTCAAAAAAATGAAGAAGAAAAAAAGTATTCGTTCCCACGTCTGACTATGTATTATATTATAATAGTAAATGTTCGATACCTAATAAAATAATAGTGCCATAAATACAATATTTATAATTATAATTGTATTAAAATTATAGTCCAGCCTGCTTATGGCTGCTAAAAATTGTTACAAACTAATAACGCCCGATTTTAATAAACATTATTCGAAGAGGGATAGGACACAATCAGATGGGCGCCAGCTTATCTGTCAAATAGGATAAGCAGCTGTCGATAGAACTGAAGCCGGTAGTAGGTGAGATAATTGCAAAACGAGCCAACGCGCCGACGTGTTTCATTTATAAATTTGCAGTCGCGAGTGTGGTCCGGTGGTGCAGTGCAAGTGTCGTCGTTCTTTTTTGCGCTACAAACAAACGCACGCAAGCACGCGCTCGTCATGGAGAAGACGTCTTTTCTACCGAGGTGTTGTTTTTTCTCGCTTACGTGATGTCTTCCATGTGCTTATTGCTATTGTTTTTTTTTTTTTTTTTATTTTTTCTTTAGTAGTAAGTCGATTGTTTGGGGCTTTGTTAATTCTCCAGTTAGAGGAAGGGAAGTTGAAGTGCATCTGTAGTAAGACATATTGTAGGTGCGAACATTTCAGGGGATTGGTTATTTGCGTTTTTTTTTTTTTTTTTTTACATGTCGATATGCTTATCTAATTATCATCGGATAATATCTCGAGTTTTTGATGAACATTGAAAGCCTTTGCTGGTGAGTGGGAAAAAAATGTCTACGGTGATAAATACGCTATTACGATCGGTATTTGTAAAAACAAATAATAGACCAAAGGTTTTCATTGCTCCTTTTTTGACGCTGTTTTTAATGTCACGCTGGTTAAGAATTTGCGAATCATTCAATTTTTTGGAATTTGAGATTGAAAAAAAAAAAAAAAAAAAAAAAAAAAAAAAAAAAAAAAAAAAAAAAAA